AACAGGAAAACTTCTTCCCTCACTCCAACATAAGCTCTCATGTTACCTCCTCTGCAACCAGACTCAGACTCCTAGCAAGTGCTTGAAGCTGCCCTTTTATACCTGTAGCCCCTCCCACTGGGCTTAATTACCCATTTTAACAATATTATGTGCAAAACCAGTGCATGGAAACAAAATGCATTACAATGACTTTTTCATATGTCTCAAAATATCTCCTCATTAAACATATCCAATGACTTTTGCGAAAAAATGCATTAACTATAAATACTACGATTCTAACTAATTATCATTGAAAAAAATGACAGGAAGTTATGCCCCGATTTAATCCATCGAACTTCCTACAGCGAGATGAACGAGCAGGGTCCCCAAAGTGTGTGTGTGTGTGTGTGTTTACTGTAACTACAGCCTTTCTGAGGTTTCTGTATTACCTTGTAAAAGTAGTCATATTTGTATAGCCCATATTCACAAATCACAATTTATCTTATAGGGCTTAACAAGGTGCAATGTGTGTAGGGGGGAGGTGGGTGTAAATGTGGAGCTGTTGAGTGTGCACTCTTGGTTGCACCACGGCTAAATGGAGTAAATGATAGGTAAATAGCAATTAACTAGGCAATATTGTCACAATATGTAATAAATATATTTCCGTTTTAAGAATGTCTTAAACATTTCAAGATAGATGTGTTGTACCCAATATTGGTCAGTTGAAGCTCACAAGTTTTTTTGCAGAATTGTTCGCATCTGTGTTCTATACTGTCTTCCTTTGTAAATTGAAAATGAAAATTTTTTTTGTAATTGGCAAAGGTAAACACTCTGTCAATCTGATTCCAGATCTGAAGTCAGAATAAATATTGTCAAACACAAAAGAGAGAGGTAAGGGAAAGGAAGGTGCACAGAGTTATCTGAGCTGGAGCAGCACATCATTGGAAACATATTTCACTGAAAAATGTAAATCCGCTTGCCACTATGCCGATGGAGGGGTGGGTGAAGTGTTTGAGTCCAGAAAACGCAGGTAGAATTGGACCGGGGGAGGAGTTTATCCTGGTTGCGCTCTGATGGTCCCTGGAGGATCTGCTCCAACGGAAGAATACGCAAGTGAAATTGCCTCACGCAGCCAATGTGACAGACCTGAGACTGCTCCTTTGTAGTGCACAAATAAGCGCTGGGAGCGACATAGCTCATTCCCTCCATACCCTCCAGTTTAGGGTGAAAAATTGCCAAACTTCCATCTTCTTGGTTCTAAGACATGAAGGAGCCACGGAGAGTGCAGATGTATCATTGGCTCTTCACAGACATTAGAGCCACAAGGTGATCTCTTTTCACTGACAGAAACCTGATTCAGATGTTTTTATCACCACACGTAAAACCAGTGCCAGATCCCACTGATGCGGTGAGCCATCGTACACAAAGTATGTAACTTGTCAGTAACATCATTTTTAAATTTTTTTTTTTAAAAAAGATGCATTTTAAGCCCTTTTTTTTTTTTTTTTTAAGAGCTTTAGGTCAAGAAATTAACCCCGGTTCTCTGAAACATGAGTGAGGTATCTCACTACGGGACACGGTCCTTACTCACGCAATTTTACACTAAGCCAGTTCTGACATCATCCCCTAAGTATAAATATATACAGTTGTGTTCAAAGTAATAGCAGTCCAACATCACTAACCAGATCAATCAATGTTTTGGGTAGAAATTATATTTCTACTTGGCAAATAATTTACTAGTAGGTGTAGTAGGGTTATAGAAAACCAACAGACCCAACAGTCATGACATGCATGCTGCTGATTCTTTGTAAATGAATCATTAATTAAAAGCGGCTCGTTCAAAATAATAGCAGTGTGGAGTTCAACTAGTGAGGTCATTTATCCTGTGAAAAAACAGGCGTCAAACAGGTGCCCAATGTTGTAGATGCTAGTTATGGAGCATTTCTTTCTGAAAATTTGAGTAAAATGGGTCGTTCCAGACATTGTTCAGAAGAACAGCGTACTTTGATTAAAAAGTACGAAGAAGTGCCGAAAATGATAGGCTGCTCAGCTGAAATGATCTCAAATGCTTTAAATTGGTAAACATGGCCCGGAAAGACGTGGAAGAAAACGGAAAACTACCATTTGAATGGATCGAAGAATAGCCAAAATGGCGAAGACTCAGCCAATGATCGGCTCCAGGATGATCAAAGAAGGTCTAAAGTTACCTGTGAGTACTGTAACAATAAGATGCCTATGTGAAGCCAAGCTATCAGCAAGAAGCCCCCGCAAAGTCACATTGTTGAAAAAATGACATGTGCTGAAGAGGTTACAGTTTTTCAAAGAACACAGTGACTGGCCTAAAGGGAAATGGCGCAACATTTTGTGGACTGATGAAAGCAAAATTGTTCTTTTTGGGTCTAGGGGCCACAGACAGATTGTCAGATGACCCCCAAACACTGAATTCAAGCCACAGTACACTGTGAAGACAGTGAATCATGGTGGTGCAAGCATCATGATATGGAGATGTTTTTCATACTATGGTGTCGGCCTATTTATCGCATACCAAGGATCATGGATCAGTTTGAATCGATCAAAATATTTGAAGAGGTCATGTTGCCTTATGCCGCAGAGGAGATGCCCTTGAAATGGGTGTTTCATCAAGGGTTAGACCCCAAACACACCAGTAAGTGAGCAGCATCTTGGTTCCAGACTAACAAGATTAACGTTATGGAGTGGCCAGCGCAATCCACGGACCTTAATCCAATAGAAAACTTGTGGGCTGACATCAAAAATTTTGTTTAAGAGGCAAAACCAAGAAATGCAGAGGAATTGTGGAATGTAGTCAATTGTCCTGGGCTAGAATACCTGTTCACAGGTGCCAGAAGTTGGTCGACTCCATGCAACACAGTTCTCAGAAACAGTGGTTATACAACTAAATATTAGTTCAATTATTCACAGGAAAGCTAAATCTTCAAGCATTTTTCAGTTTATACAGTAAATGTTTGAGTTTGTAAAGAAAATACAGACACTGCTATTTTTTTGAACAGCCTAATATTCCTTTTTCTTCAATTTCTGTAAAGTAATAACAAATTTTATACATTTTTCTTCATGTTTTGATTTGGAGTAGAATGTGCAGTGTTCCCAATGCATTTGCGTGTATGGAAATAAAAGCTATTATAAGGATTTTGAGCTTTACTCACTTTTTTAAACACACTGCTATTATTTTGAACACAACTGTATATAGACACTCCCATATTGCCAGATAAACTTACCTTGAAAACCAATAACTAACCAACAGTCAGTCAGACAGGCACATTTGTAACTGAACCCATACTCGGGACTGCATGAGACCATGTAGGTACAGTAATATCCAGATTATAAAATCTGGTGAAGGTTTACCCAGCTGGCAGCCGCCTATATCTCTTCAACAGACACGCCCTGGAACAGTGCCCATGACGCAGCCATACCACAAGTGGAATGGGTGTGCAGACCTATGGGGGGTTTGTAATCCCATGCAATTATAGGCTGTGGCTACCTCATCGAGGTTTTCCCAAATGTGGTGTAGTCCAAGACACAAACAGCTTGTGGCAGTCGACCATGCCACGGGGTTCCCACCACGACAGCCAGAGACGAACCAGTCCAACCATTGGGTGCTCAGCAACATCTTTTTATTGCAGGCCAACAGAACTGACAAAACATTGAACTTAAAGGGTCCAGCACTTTCTGCTGGACCATTAGCTTCACCCAGTCTCTTCCCCAGTGTGTGTTCTCGAGGCAGCTCTGCTGCTGCCTTTTCAAGCATGAGGATCAATCAGCTAACAGCTCTCACCTGTGCTGACTGATCCTCTGTGGTGCAGGTGAAGGTGCTCTCTCAGCCCCTTCACCTCCACACAGCTGCTCGGATTTTCTGAAACTAGATGTAACTCCACGTAAGTGCCTAATGGGTGCACTGGG